TTTGAATATGTAGTGGAAAATGGAAAGTGGCATTGTCACCCAGTACACTTGAAAGCTCGTGCTAGAGTAACAAAGAAAACTTTCGAGACGGTTTCTGAAGTTGAATTACAAATCGCATAGGTACTTCATGAATTTCATGAGGATTACTATTTTTACGCATACTTCATGAATTTCATGAGGATTTTATTTCATGAGGAATACTATTTAGTAGATTCTACAACCAAATACTGTATGCTTACTTTAATTGGTTAAAAAAATATCATTGTCCAAGAGTTTAAAAATGAAAAACACACGGACAAAGGTCAAATTAAAAGCAAAGAGCGATTTTAAAATATCTCATCTAGACGTTGTCAAAATGAAAATAATCGTATGTATCGTAATTCCGGTACTTTTGGTACATAGCACTAATAAATATTTTGGTTCTAAAATGCGTCTCTCAGTTATTCAACACCTGTCACCCCACAGCTATCCGCTGCCTGGTAACCCAACAACCACCAATATTGTCCATTGTCGAGCGCGAGCGCATGTTGTAACAACCTCTCGAGGAATTTCGCGTAGCCCGCGGATGTACTATCGGGGACTCGAACGCCTTGACACCTTAAGGGCCTAAATTGTTTGCACACACACGCTCGATTTTGCTTCGCCCCCGTTCATTCATGTTTCGAGTCTAAGCAGTGTCGGCGCACCACTGTAGATGTTTGCCCTAGCAAACCAAGCTCTATGTAAAGCACTTAGGACTGAGTATTGCTTATTACCCGCATCCGTAGCGCTCGTTTGGCAACGTCGCATTTTAGTCAATTTGAAACCCAATTAAGAATCGCTACAAAATATTATATGAGGCTTCGTGTAAAATTTGAACTAGCGATTGCCCGCTCGGGTCACAAAATTGCTATCGCACATTCCGAGGTAACTATGCAATTTCCCGAGAAAAAAGTAGCCAAAACACAATATTAAAAAAAATACATATCTATTTGTTTGTAACCAAATTCTATTATTAAAATTCTAAGGCTCAGTTGCACCATCTTACTTTAACTTTAACAAACGTCAAAATTCTGTCAAACTCCATACAAAAAGCACCGGTTACCGTTATAGTTACGGTCAAAGTTAGATGGTGCAACTCAGCCTAAAACTAAGAAAGATTGAAGAAAAAGAAACATTTCGTTTTAAACCTTAACCCTATGACAATAAAGTGCACAATGGTATTTCGTATTGCAACCTAAGCCCTGATTGTCTCTTATTGGTCGTAGTAAAAATATAGTAAAATGCGTAACCAATTAGAGACGGGGTGAGCACGTGACCGGAGCGATGCGCTTACGCTAAAATTTCTACAAAGTGGTCAGGCGGAAGAGTCCCCGATAGTACAAAAAAAAAAAAAAAAAAAAAAAAAAAAAAACATACGGGTCGAATTGAGAACCTCCTCCTTTTTTTGAAGTCGGTTGAAAATATAGTAAAATGCGTAACCAATTAGAGACGGGGTGAGCACGTGACCGGAGCGATGCGCTTACGCTAAAATTTCTACAAAGTGGTCAGGCGGAAGAGTCCCCGATAGTACAAGCCGTGAAAATGGCCCGATTAATATTATAATTGCAATTTTTGTACACACGCGTTTTCATGTTCTCTTTCTTGTTTGCCTTGTATACTTAATTCAGAAATCGATCGAGATCTCTGCACATAATCTAATATATTAAGTTACTTGTACTCATACACTCATTTAAATATCGTTAAATTTTATTTCTGTTAATTAAAAAAATTAAATAAATAATTTATGGAATTAATTTACGTTATGGGTAAGTGCAAACTTAAAAAATAATTCTGCTGTCAAAACCTACTTCTTTTTAAATAATCGGTAGCAAAGAAAATTCAGAGAAGTGCAATATGACACAAACAACAGCCGATGAGATGTGTCATTGCTTGCCACCATTGTTTGATTTGCTTGGTCTGCAAATGACACGTTATTCAGCGACAAAAGTATATGCTCCCTGATGATTTTCAGTTCATACTATGATGTTGTTTCATGAAAACCTGTGACAAGTAAGTAGCCCAAGATAATTTAGTCCATTAGAATACCACAAGATAATATACAAAAATAAAGCTTACTAGACGTATCCTACATAGTTATCTCGTACGCATCATCAACCATCATTGTAGAGTTAGTAAAAGTGCCTCTTTAGATCCCACATTACTTGCTATCGTTTTTTCCCACGTTAAAAGAGTTGGCTAAGCATTCAAAATATTCGAATTCTAATCGCAGATCTGTAGATCGAAACCAATAGATAAAATGATCCACTTTGTTCTACGTATTAGGTCGGAAGGCTTTTGTTTAAAAATCATAGATAGTCAGCGTTTTTTCTCTCTATTCTCTATATCCAGTATAAATAAGTGAAACTTGATATATTTATCGACAAAACAAGGCAGGTCATAAAGGTGGGGTACAAACCTACAAATTCACCGGACGATACTATAACTACTGCATCGACTAATTTTGCAGAACAAAACTTACAAAACTAATGGTAATCCTAAGAAGTTAAGATGACGGGAAACGACAACAAGCGTCGTAGTACCAGTAGTAAAAACTATGACAATGGCAATTGTAGGTTAGTGCAGGCAAAGCCAGGACAGTTAGCTTTTATGGGCCATTAGCTGGAACGATGGGAAACCAGGCACATGTTTAGCTGCATAAGATATAGGCGTCAGAAGTTTTTGTACTGTTTACGAGATGATATATTATGAAGAGAAGTGAGAGCTTTTATCAACGAAAGCTTTTCTTTTTGATTGTTATCAATCTGCCGTTTGGCTGTTACATGACTCATGTTAGGCGCCTCCTATCCCAGTCAGGTCATCAAGCCTTATGGCAAGATTATGTACACGGACAAAAAGATAAGTTTATTAAAGTTTTACAAACCAAAGCTTAAGAATCAAAAGGATGTAAAACGTAAAGTTGCCAGTGAGTCAACTGCAATAAAGTAACATCATTATCCAAAAAACTTAATTAAAAGTCATAAAACGAAAAAAATATCTCCTCTTACGCATCCCAAAAGAAGTCATGTTCCAATTCCTTACATTAATCGCTGCGATCAACACGAACGAATCGGCAAATGAACAATGTATCTCGTACCCACAATTTAATCCGCGCGGCTTCACGACAGTCGCTTCCTTTGCTTGCGGCCGAGAAAAAATAAAAAGTCAGCCGCAAAAAGAAAAAAAATGGCGGCGGAGGGAAGCGACAGGTTTCAAGTTGGGCTACTGTTTGCAGATATTATCGAGGATATTATGCGAGATTGATGAATTGACTAACTCTTTTGTCGATTTTATTAATGATTTAACTGATTTAGTTATACCAGTCAGTCAAAATATGCACAAACGTCATATAAACTTTGATTGAAACTAAATGAAACGAGGTTTTGGATTACCACTTCATTTATATATCTTCATATTTTTTTTGTTATAACGTTATTCATGCCTTCATTTTAATTCAACTTTGCTTGCTCAAGGCTTTTCACATAAATGATAATATTAAAAACGTCCATAACTCCATTTGTCTTCAATATCAAGAGTCGTTATTCTAGAGCGCTGTCATAAGAAGAAATAAATCAATAAGTGGCCGCATTAGGAAGGAAAAACTATCAGTCAACGTTGAATCTAGGATTAGAAGCAATAACTTCAAGAAATGGCCGCGTGATGAGAAAAACATAAGGGATACGTTTGTGGACCAGACAAACGAACCACGTGCTAGATTTTTATAGTTCATTTTGTTTTTGCTAGTTTGAAGAGAGCGGACAAGTGTAGTTTATATCAAAAGTTACACACACCCATATTCTTCGGTAAAATAAAAAAACCTGCCTTAAACTTAGTAACTTTTCGCGGTGTGGCTTCTTTGCATCCTTCCCGTGAATCAGAACTTCACAGAAAGGGAATACCTCTAACAGATTAAAAACTTCTTTTGGTTGGAAAATAAACTTTTTATCTCACGAAATTCCTTAACGAGTGTCAATTTTGCTATTCATGAGGTAACCGTCAAGATAATAAGTCAAACTCTATTGGCACACTTCCATCGTCGCATAAACCGGTTATGGTTTTAAATTTCATGTAAAAAGCTATTTAAAATTTGCTTCTGTTGTGGTTCCCACAAATATGTAATTTGGTTCCATTATCCCCACCACCGGCTCTCAGGCGGTCGGCGACCAGGAACTTGTCCTGTAATGACCGAAACCTTTTACCCTACAGCGAGACAAAAATTTGACTAATTTTTAACGAAATTTCCTTTTTGTCAGCAGACGAATCCTTGCTGTCAACATCTCATTAAAATATTACATTCTTAAGTTTTACATTGAACGCACTCAAAATCTTACTTTAATAACATGCAAATCTGATCTAAACCAACAGTTGAGACAAGTTGGAAGAAGTGTGAAGTGAAAGATGTATCACGAACGGTAAGTAACCTGTCGTTTCTCTTAAAATATTGGTATTTAATTCAGCATTTATTTATAGCTGCGCCAGTCACGACCGAAACTTACGAGTGTTTAGACCAAGCCAGCGCGCTGAGCATTCTGCGAGGTCTATTCAGAAAATGCGTGAATGAACACATTTGTCGTTAGACCACTAGCCACGGCACTTATTCTTTTTACAAATACCAATGAATACCAGAACTTTTTAACCATACATCTTCTTTTAGAGAATGGGTTGTGATAATTGAGGTCACAACCCTATTGTTAGATATAATGAACCGCCATAAGCATTATGTTGGTAAGCTTATGTTATGCCCACCGAAGCATGTAATCATGTATCTTTTTCGGACAGTCAGATTCATAATTCAAGGCTACAATGTCCTAATTTGAACTTATTCACAAGTGATTTAACTTAACATAGTGTGTTACTTCATCTAAGAGGAGTTTCTTAATGTGTACATTACAGTACCTACAGGGTTAAAGCTTGTATCTTATGGCTTAAGATACAATACAAGCCGATCAGTCTCAAATTATAGAAAAACATAAGCTACTCACTCATTACAGCAGGTCACTGACGTCTGCGACACCGTCACCAGGGTCGTGGTGGTGGTCGTCACCTTGTCGCCGACGCACTTCTTCCTCGAGCACTCGTCTAACACTGCATCCTCCTTCAAAGGCTGCAGCACCTCCTTCATCTTATTCGGACCCGTCTTCACCGTCGACCTTTGGAACTTGAAATTAGCTGTCGTCTTCCCATCGGTAGAAATCTCAGATTCCTCCGTTATTATCGCCCCTTTTCTAGTCCGACACACAGTTTTGGACGTCTTCCCAAAAGTATTACCATTCCTAAGAATCTCTTCTTTTGAGTCCAATAATTGAGGTTTGGACTTCGATTGTAGAGGTAGCCCGTTCTCTAACATACTCTTTATACTATCTGAACTTAAACTTGTACCTAAGATTTGGTCTAGATCTGCTGTGTTCATGTATTCGTCATAGTTTTGTTGGATCGGTTGCCGTCTTTGGTCTTTCTGCCACGTGGTTTGGATGTCGAATCCGTATATTGGTTCGGATTCAACACCAAATGTGTATTTTTCTTCTGTTTTTGCTCCTTCATCGGGAGCAGGTTCTATTTCTGGATTCAAATTATCTTCAAAAAAATCGTCAGTGAGTTCAGTTATCTGAGCGCCGGGTCTTTTGACGTCCATAGTATCGAAGTTTAGGAAGTTTGTGTTGATGTTGTTTATTTTTCTTTTGCCATAGAGTTGTCTGTAGTACTTCTCCTGGTCGCCGTGCATCCAGCAGACCTTCCACCATTGCTTGCACATCAGGATGTTGGCGGAATTAGATGCCTTCACATGCCTGGTAGCCGTGGCCGACATCTCTGCTACAAAAACATGTTTGTGAATATCAATACAACAATCGACCATTTGATTTATTGCTGCTACTCATTAGATGAGATTGCAAATATCTGTTTGCTTTTTACGAGACCAATCATTGGGACAAAATTGGCTTTTAAAATGAGTTGTTACTAACTATACTGTCGTGGTAATGGATTCAATTTATGATAATAATAAAGTACGCCACTTGATGTTGATGCACTTCGGGATTTTATTGATTTTAGTCATTATCGGTTGTAAGGTAATAATAAAAATACTTATTATCTGTCATTTACTACTCGATTTTGAATAAAGTACGATTATTTGATGAATAGATATACATATACATATAACATACTTAGCCAATAAAATAATTTTGTTAAGGTCAAAAAACTCCTAGCATGAACTAACTGGTATCTAAAAATAGACACATAGAAACCTATAAATAGACACACAAAAACGGAAACCAATCATAAAATTATTTGTTAATATTTGACTGACATGAGAGCATAATGGAGCAAGACTTATTTTAATACCCACTCATATAAATTCATGATTGATGACACTACTCGTATAATCATGACCCATACGGCTTTTATACACGGTATAAAATGCATGAAATATTATGAAAAATTATGAAGCATTAGTAGCACTAAGAAACTTTTTGTTAAAATTGGCAACACCTGAAGTCTCCATGATGATGTTGCATAAATCACAATACAAATTATTAATGTTATTACTGATTATAATTTGTGGGTAAGTTTCTAGTATAATGCAGACCTTGAACATTAAATTTCATGTCTGCACGTCTTACATTACCTTCAGTAAATAAAATTACAGGACTAAAACGAAACACTTCTAGTGGATAAGATGATGAGCGAATCCAGACCCGATATTACTCGTGTAATCTTCGCTGCGGAACTAGATCTAGCCTTTATTTAGCTAACAGTAAACTCTTTCGACGATGCTTCATAGGAAATTATAGTTCTATTGTACGCAACACTGTAGAGGCGGCCCTCCGCCACGCTTGGACGCCTTGAATACGCGCTTGGAGAAAATTTGTAAGCACAACCGCACAACATAGGTTTTACAATATCATTACTGACTTTACCATGAAAATCTTGCGAATCTAATGAAAGTTTAACATTCACCCGGGACAAACTTGATCTTCATTGGTTGAGTTTTTATTGGCGGTCAAGCTGTAGATCCTGGCTACACAGGAATTGCAGCAGTGGGATCCAGAGGTGGGAATAGCATCGTTGTAACCGCAATAAAAACGATATAAATGATTAACTGTGTTTATCTTTTAAAAAATTGACATGAGAAAGTTTCACAAATCAGTACTAGCATTCAGGACATGAATATAAATTGCAAATGGCCTCAATTTTTCATAAATCACAGTGACAGAATAATAAAGGCGAAGAAAACAGAAAATGCAATTTTAGTGAGGTGGTAAAAAATTCAAAAAATCCATTTTTCTGCATCGTCAAGGCAAGGTCCGGCAAGCAGCGCGAGTAGCGAGCCTGAATTTATATTCTATACACGAGATTTATATTGAACCTGTTTTGTAGTATGTCAGTTGAATTTAAACGTTCACTTGGACTTACAAGTGTAATCTTTAAGGAACGCTTATTCTCATAAACTGCTAGAATCAAGCTTAGAATTTATAAAATGTTGTCATTTTAACCATCTTTTCTTCAAGATCGTGTACAAAGTTCTTTGAAAGATGATTTATTATGCAAGTAGTAATTTTCTATTCTACTTATTGTTTTCTTACGTCTTATAACAATGCCATCCTATCTTATAAACTCGATTGACGATTGAATATTGTAGCATCACTATAAAGTATACCACCCCTAATATACTCGTATGTATGTGTGTACACTGTAGGTACAGTTCAAATTAACCAAGTTCTTGGCCACTGCAATTGTGCCACCCTGTATAACGTCGGGTCGCTGTGCGGCTGTCCGCGGGTAGGTAGCCAATTACGAGTGCACCACAATTGTGGGATAATTCGCTTCTGCGGTTAGATCCTATTACACCGGACCGCAGGCATGCCACAGAGATGCAACTCATAACAATTAACAATTACTCTTGTTAAAGTTTCAAGTTCACTGTCATAAATGATAAATAAGTAATTGCAATTATGTAAGATAGAGATAATAAGATGAGGACCAGGCGCGGATCCACCGTTGTGGGCACTGTGGGCATGCCCACAACCCTAATTTGCTTGTTTTTATTATGATCTATTGATAAGATCCATAGGTGATTAAAACGGCTGACTGACGAACCTTTAAAAAATCGAGCGTGATTTGGAACACAGCCGTTCCATTAAAACGCCGCCGCCAGCCACCGACCACTTGGCTCTCACTTTGCAAATTTTGGTGGCAGTGCCCACAACCTTTTTTGAGGGCTGGATCCGCGCCTGATGAAGACTCGTGTTAAAAATCTTTTTTATTACATTTGACAGTGCTCTCTACATACTTTCAGCTGGTAAATAATTGAAACGAAATACTATTATTTCAATCAATTCACGAGTACTGAAACGAGTATGATGTTTTCAAACTTAAACCAATATAAAAATGAAAATGTAGAGATGATGATTATGAGTAATTAAGAAGTAAAAGCATTATGTATCATGAAATATTACAGTCGTTCTTACTCGTAGTAACACCAAGACATCAATAAATATTTTATGTAAGCTTTGTTCTTGATAATCTGAAGTATCTGTGTGGCGCCCGCAGCTTCACAGCGGTAAGGGCCTATTTATCCACGCTTTCTTCATCCACCACGTGATTTACTGGTTAATTGTAATTCTAGAGGTTGATTAAATTTTAATTAGAATCTCTGTAATTTTGCGAGCGTTTAATCGGGCGTTATTATCTTGTGCACTCTAAACTGTGATTTTAATTATTTTTGATGCCCTCACGATAACTCGCTGATAGAATCATAAATCTACACTGATAATAAAGAGGAAAGTTTTGATTGTTTATTTGTATTAAATAGGCTCCGAAATTTCTGAATTGATTTAAAAAAATCTTTCAACATTACAATCCGATATTATTTCCGATGAAACTTATTACCATCATATGGGTAGCACAAAAAGTGTAAAGAGTTTATTTTCCAGCAAATTTACAACTCTAGTTACAGCTTGATTTTAAGCTTGCAAGCTGCATTACATGTTAAATGGCTCTTCAACTAGTATGTAGTTACACAACTCATTCAGAACGTACGTACTTATTTTCAAACGTCAAGAAGGTTGTATTAAATTCGAGATAACAATCGTGCGCGCGCAGAGGGCAACGTTTCGAGCTAATTGCGCCTGTGCCCGACGCAATTATCGATACTATCGACTGTCGATACGCGCGTGCATCACTATTATCGGCTTATAGGTACACAACTCAAATATTAATTGTAGTTCATAAGTTAAAAGTGAAGTTTGTAGCAATTACATTGAACCGCAAAGAAAAAGGGTCAGACAATTTTCAATATCTTTAAAATTACGTGACCTATGCCCGTTTTCACCATCAATTCCTAATTTATAAGTGACCACTTTGACAACAAACTTCCTGTTATTTGTTACCATAGAGGTCACTTAAAAATTAGGGATTAATGGTGAAAACGGGCATCAGACAATTTTCAATATCTTTAAAATTAGGTGACCTAGTTTCATAAAGCTTTCTAACTGACCAGAGTTAAAAACTTCCTTATTCATTCAAACCCCCATCAAAGTAATGTAAAACAAGTGAAAAATATTTAAATGGTAAAATAAAAAAACACTTTCAAAAAGTTTTTGCGTCTTCTTTTACGATCCGACGAGATAAAACTTAAGTGGAACAGATAAAAAAATAAACAAGTGAAATTCGAAGATCGTTTCGCGAAGTTTTTATTGTTTCGAATTATTGTTTTTAATTAAGTGAAGTTAATATGGAAAATTATTGTTTTGTGCCAGTTTCATAAAAAGTTTAACATCTTAATACATTTTGATAAATTAATGAGTCGTAAATGTGATGTTTTAATAAGTTTTACAATATTTTACAAATTTCAGGCCAGGGATAATTTTGGTTTTCAACCGACTTCAAAAAAGGAGGAGGTTCTCAATTCGACCCGTATGTTTTTTTTTTTCTATGTTTGTTACGCGATAACTCCGCCAATTATGAACCGATTTGAACAAATCTTTTTTCTGCGTATAGGTAATACCTCAAGGGTGGTCCCATTTAAATTTAATAATAGAAAAATAAACCCCCAAGGGTGGAAAATTGGGGATGAACTTTTTTATACGCAATATCTCCGCCGATTATGAATCAATTTGAACGATTATTTTTTTGTCGAATAGGTATTATCAAAAGGGTGGTTTCATGCGAATTTGAAGAAAATATTTCACCCCCAAGGGTGGAAAATTGGGGATGAACTTTTTTATACGCAATATTTTCAATTTTTAGTTTTTTTTTGTGTTCATTTGAAGTCGGTTTTATTTTTTTTTTAAAGTTATTCGATGTAAATGTTAAGGTCAAAATAATGTCTACCACATTATTTCTTCAATTTATTAGTTTTGAATTTCATTACTTACTCAAGATACTCGTACATCTGTTTCGAAATTCATTAGCACCAGTACAGTAAATTGTTATAGGCTGCTCGCGTCCGTAGATTATGGTTTGTAATAGCGTTAGATCAGTCTTTATAATGATTTTTTCATGCCAACAGGGCTCATAATAACATGTCAGCCTATTAAATCATTAACTCAATGCATTCAAGTGGCTAAACTTGTATCTTGTACTCGAGAACATGCAAATCAAACATAACATTTATTCATAGCTCATCGATCATCACAGACAATCTTGAGAAACGATTTTTTCTAAAACGGAATGTAATACACTAGACCAATTTGTGTATGCAAAATATTATCTGGGGGCACGGCAGTGCCCCCACCAAGTCGAGCAAAAAAGCGGCACGGCCGTACCATCCTTTTCTCGAAGCAATTCAGGCCATTTTCGACTGCCTGTAACTT